AAGGTGTCAATTTGACAAGGTGTCAGTTAAAATCTTTACTAACTTTAATATATATATATATATATATATATATATATATATATATATATATATATATAATAATCATCATATTTTTAAAGTAATAGTTTTTAATATTTTACTATTATTCTTTTTTGTTATGATTAAAACACATTGTACTTTTCTGATATTCATTTTAATTTTAATAAAAATATAAATAGAGCATATTAATATCCCCAATATTTACATTTTGATTAACTTTAGACTGTTAAATAATTTGATAAATATGCCATAAATAGTTATATTAATAATACTAGTAGATATTGTATTATTATTCATTTCAAATAAATAGACGTAGAATCTTCAATCTTCAATTAGCAAATACATAAATTAGAAGACTCATAAACGATTGCATACAAGTTAACGGAGCGCATTACCTTTAGTTTCAAATTATTAAGCACATATTTAACTGAACCTCCATATATTTCCTCCACCAATAACGATCATAAGCAACAACAACGATAACAACAAGAACAAAAACAAGATAAAGTCATCCGTTATACCTACCACATACCACATATATGGTGGGTGTCACATCAGCACCACATTCCCCTACCAGTAACATGTGATACCTACCACTAACACACCACTCCACATCATTATTTTTATTTTTTTTAATTCAAAAATACAATAAAATTACATTGTTTATAATTAAAAAACATTCATTTTTTTAAATAGTTTTTCATTAATTATAAAAATAAAATTACAACTTCAAACTACATTACTTAGTTAATCTAGAAAAAAAAACATTACATTAATTAAAAAAAACAAACAAACATACATATAAAAAACTAATCGTCGTTCATGCTACGTTGGTACAAATGTTCTGCGACATCTTCTCGAAGATTGAAACACGTTTCACTGTTTTGAATTTCAATAACTCGCTCTAAAAACGCATTCGTTCCGGGTACGAACTCCTCAATTGGAATGACAACGTCGTTCGGATCATACGTGCAAATCGTTCGACCTTCATCTTCAATAATCATATTATGCATTATAATACATGCTAAGACCATTCGCTTAATTCTTTCTTTATCCCAGAGTCGTGTAGCATATTTCACTACATGTCATGTCTGCTTAAGGACTCCAAATGCCCTCTTGATATCCTTTCTCGCCGATTCCTGTTTTTTTGTAAACAACTTTGCTTTTTCACTTCTAGGAACCGAGTATGCCTTCATCAATGTAGAATAATCTGGGCATATCCCAGCACCAAGGTAGTAATCGTATTTATATGTGTGTCCGTTCACCGTGAACGTCATATCAGGTGCTTTGCCGGTCCAAATATCGTTGAAAAGTGGAGACTGACCAAGAACATCAAGGTCGTTGTTAGACCCCGCTACTCCAAAAAAGGCATGTCATATCCAGAAATCTTGAGATGCAACAGCTTCTAGGATGATAGTTGGTTCACCTATATCTCCTCGAGTGAACTGACCACGCCATGCATTTGGACATTTTTCCCAAGCCACATGCGTACAATCTAGACTGCCAAGCATACCCGGAAATCCATGTCTCTCTTCATGAACCGAATATAATCTCTCAATATCACGTTGAGTAGGTTTGCGCAAATATTGTTCGTGAATAACCTCATACACGCATGCAGAAAACCAATCTACACATTCAACTGCGGTCCTCTCGGATACTTTCAAGTATTCGTCAAATGCATCAAATGTTATACCGTATCCCAAATACCTAAGAGCAGCCGCACATTTTTGTATACTACTAAAACTCATTCTTCTTCTAGCGTCGGGTTTTTGTTTGAAAAAATCATAACGAGATTCTAAATCATTAATAATACGTAAAAAATATAGCCTTATTCAGACGGAAACGACGTTCGAACGAGTCGTCATTATAAAGACAATTATCGGCAAAGTAATCACGTACCAATAAGTCGTGTGCGGCTTGGCGATCACGATTGACGACCGCCCTTGTACGAGCAACATTTGAACTTTCTTTGTCGTGAATGTGTTGCACAACGTTGAAGAATGTCTCGACGAATTCTACGTCGTCATCCGAGTCAAAAGTTTTTAAAAATTTCATATGTTTTGTAGAATCCATGTGTATGTGTTTTTTTGGTTTTAGAGAATTAAAGTTTTGTGAGAGAATGAAGGTGTGTTTTGGTGAAAATAGAAGGTTTATTTATTTGTGTATTGAATTGAGTTTGAAAAAAAAGGACCAAATGACCGTTCAACGGTCAACAAATCAATAACCAATCATCGATTCTGTTTACATTCATTGTTGGGAACACGAAGAACAACGACCACGTCCGACCACGGAATGTCGGGGTGGTGTGCACGAAGTTTTCTCGTGGCCACCTGGACCACGACAAAGCCTAATTGTGATGCAAAATGGAAAAGTGGGTCCAACGAATAAGTTATCAAATATAAAAGTTTTTAAAAAAAATCAAACTTGTCAATTACCGATAAACCTACTAAAAAGTTTAAAACGAGATAATTAAAAAAACATATGAAGTCCTTGTTTAAAATAAAAAGAATGTGTATAAATCCAAAAATATAAATCTTTTACTAACGCTAAAAAGTATTAATACGACCCATTCGCCGACCTAAAGCCAAAAAAGTTCGAAGAATTATAGTAGTACTTATCTTTTGATAAATGTATTAAATATTGTCATTTTATACATATTGTTAAGAACACGATTAGAACTATGTTTAGATTCTATAAAGACAAAACATTACAACCGGCAACGAATATACCCTGATAAAATAATGCCATATTATCGAGTTAAATCAAAATTTGGTGTAAAAGTGTAAAACATTCAAAAAATAAATTACAGAAAAGTTGGTATAATATTTGGTACATATAATGATATATCTCAAAGATACTGTTACGTCTTACACTCTATTAAAATTGAGACAAAGTACAAGAAAAACCAAACATATTTATAATCGTATTAATTTGGTTACTTAATTATTTTAATCATTATAAAAATCAATTAAGTAGCTAAATCTTTATAAAAGTTCGCCGAAGTCAAACGTGAGCACTACTAATTCATTGAGGAATTAAAGAAACACACACATACACATATAAAACTATAAACTGCAGGCAACAATCGTAAGCTATATGTTAAGGTTTATTTTAATCAATTGGTATAGAAATCGTCAAACCAATTCGATTTAAATGTCGAAATTAAGCTTTCTCCTCCAACCCCATTTCACATAAACTTCTACTTCTCTCCCAACACAATGTTGGGCAAGAAGATTGGTTCCTTCAAAAAATTAGCCAAAAAGGTCAAGGTCAAACGCACCCCGAATATAGAGCCATCACACCATGACTACTTGCTAAAGACATATGAAGAAGATGAAGGTTGCAACGAACCCAAACCAGGTTTTTTTGCGATTTATGTAGGTAATCATGAGCCACGAAGATTTGTTGTTCCTATTGAATACCTTTTGCATCCGTTGTTTAAAATGTTGTTAGAGAAAGCTTATGATGATGAAGAATGGAATAACCGGTTGGTGGTTCCATGCAGTGTCACGGCTTTCCAAGAAGTGGTTAATGCGGTTGAATGTTCCAATGGGATGTTTGATCTTGGTCATTTGGTTGAAGAGCTCTTTTAGATACGACTTATGAGTAATAGATACGTGCACAGCTTCCGGCTGGTTTTGTCAAACATATCCTTAGTTTAGTGTTAATTAGTAAGCAGCTCCCTCATGATTCACTTTTCATGGTTTAGTTATATCTAAAGATGTAAGATCTGATTCACATACGGGTGAGCTGTATTTGGCTAAATCTCATTAGTTTTTGCTTCTTAGTTTCGTTGGTCTTCCTCAATATAATTGTTGTTTTTATTATGGATTTATGTTTTTTTGAAAGGTTTTGTTGAAAACCATGTTTCAGTTCTCATAGTTTTTTAGATTATTAAATTTATTATTGACGTCTTGCATTTCTATCGTAGCGAATTACGATGATCCCAACAAAAGGAATTTGAGTTTAAATCATGCTAATTTCAATATTTTAAATTGATAAGCATGCCTTAAGTAATTTAATAAAATCTATGAAATCAAAATTAAAGCCTCACAGTGCATGGTTATATGCACAAATTGGTATGTATTTCGGTTGTAGTGAATTTGTAAGAAATGTGGAAGATATGGTGGATAATCTATTTATTCATGTTCAAATCTTGGCACTCAACCCTTGTGGCCATGAATGTTCGTCTTCACTGACTCCTGGACATGAGGCATAGCCTCATTTTCGCAACTGGGAATTAGTTGGTGCGCGAAAACTGGCCAGAAACCCTTGTTAGTGAAGTTCCCTTTCAAAAAAAAATGAAGACATCTTTAGATATATTTTATCGATTTAAAAAATAAATGATACTGTTAACAAACAAAAAGAATTACATTATGCAAATTTACAAAAACATATAACAGATTTATCCCTCATAGAAGTCGGCCTAATACAACAACCTAACTCGAAATTAATGGTTGGATTGATGTTTTCAATATTTTCAACATCTTTTAATTAAATCGGTCAACCCCATTAACTTGATTATTTAAATATGTATGGTTAAATTTGAAATTTATAATGGGATAAGAACTTAAAAGGGTAATATATTTTTTGATGTATACACATTTGGTCACTGAGTTTTTTTTCGTCCACATTTACCACTTCAACTCGTTAAACTGTACACATTCAGTCATTATCACCGGCTACTCCAGATTATCCAGTAAAAATGACTTAATAGGGTAATATATTTCTCACTTTGTACACATTTAGTCTTAATATTTTTGTACACATTTAGTCCTTAATATATATTTTTTGCAAAATAAGTCATTTTTGTTTTTGTACTAATTTAGTAATTATGAGTGATTTCTTAAGGTTTTTCTCACGACATTTATGTGGCACAATCATTAATGAGGTGTATGGGGTTTTTTATGTTTATGTTCATCGTGATCTCGACTACTTGGTTGTTTAGGTCATGTGTTCTTCTGAACGTCATAACTTCTTCATACGATCTCAAGTTTTAACGATTTTTATATCCATTTGTTCGTATTTTAGTCTACTACAACTTTCGTTTAGATTACTCCCGTTAAAAAGTAATATATGTTTACTAACGATCTTTATACTCATACGTTTTTTATGAATGCATATATGGATGTTTTTTATAAAATCATAAGTAAAAATATATTACATTTTAAGAGGAGTAATCTTAACGAAAGTTGTAGTAGACACAAGACTTAAGTCAAACCACAAGACATATGCAACCAAGCAGTCGAGATCGCGATGGACATAAGCATCAACAGCCCCAAACGTCTCATCAATGATTGTCTCATATAAGATATCATGAGAAAAACCTAAAGAAATCATTCATAAGTACCGAATGAGTACAAAAACAAAAAGGACGTATTTTGAAACCAAAAAATATTAAGAACTAAATGTGTACAAAAATAATAAGGACTAAATGTATACAAAATGAGAAATATATTACCCTATTAAGTCATTTTTCCCGGCTAACCTAGAGTAACCGGTCATAAGGACTGAATGTGTACAGTTTAACAAGTTGAAGGTGGTAAATGTGGACGAAAAAAACTCAGTGACCAAATGTGTACAAATCAAAAAAAAAAGATATTACTCTTTTAAGTCATTATCTCATTTATAATATAATTAGGATTTACATCATCTTGCGTTGCAACAGGGATCTTATGTTTGTTTGGAAAATAAAGTCTAACATGTATGCAAACTTTTTTTTTTAATTGGGCTAAATATGTAAAATCTATCAGCCTCTTCTAATAAAAGAATAAATTTTGTCACTTTGCCAACTTTTCATAATTTTAAATTTTTTTCACAAAGGCCCTAAAAATTACACGTGTAAAACAATTCCTGCTAAATTAATTATTAATGATATTGATTTTGAATTTATTTGAATTGATCTGTTTTTACATTGATTACGATTAAGCATAACATCCGTAAAATCATCAACAAAATTGCAAGAGTTTCAGAATTAAATCATCTTCAAAATTGCAGGTTATTTTCATTTTGCATATCTTCGTTATAAACCTTTCTTTATATTTACTTTTTTATTATTGTTTTCAATATATGTTTCTAGAATAAAACCATTGCTTATAAAATGGGTGATTTGGATTTCCAATAAACCGAAAAAGAAAAAAAAAATATTGAATTATTCTTATAATAATGTAAAAAAAATAAGGATAAAATCTATAAAATTTTAATAAAATTAATTTGATTTTGTTTCACAACATAATATAACATAATATGACATCAAATTTCAAAAAATTCCAATTTTGGAAGAGCCACCGACTAAATGAAATTTTTATTCTTAATCTACCTCTTCTCTAATAAAAAAGTCTAAATTTTACCACTTGTCAATTTTTCATAATTTTAATGTTTTTTCACAAAGGCCCTAAAAATTACACGTGTAATACAATTCCTGCTAAATTAATTACTAATGATATGATTTTGAATTGATTTGCTTTTAAATTGATTACGATTAAGCATAACATCAATAAAATCATCAACCAAATTGCGTGAATTCCGAAATTAAATCATCTCCCAAATTGCAGGTTGTTTTCATTTTGCATGTCTTCGTTATAAGCCTTTCTTTATATTTACTTTTTTATTATTGTTTTCATTGTATGTTTCTAGAATAAACTCATTGCTTATATAACGGGTGATTTGGATTGGATTTCCAATAAACCTAATAAAAAGATATATTGAACTATTCTTATAATAACGTAAAAAAATTAAGGATAAAATTGTAAAATTTTAATAAAATTAATATGATTTTGTTTCACAACATAATATGTGTATCAACCCAAAAATAATAATAATAATTTTCTTTAAAGTTCTATCAAATCGTCCATCAATTGTTTCAAAATCCAACACCAAATCATAATATTCAAAACATCAGGGTACACTTATTCAAATTGCGGAAATCATGAGGGGAGGATGTTGTGTCATCACGTCGGGCCCTTCCCTTTCGAATCAGATGTACCTGAAACCATAAACATAAACTGTAAACACAAAGCTTAGTGAGATACCCAAAGTACCACATACTAAACATACGAATAACGTTAGTCTGGGGATGGTATGTTGTATTAAAATGCAGCTGAGTACCCAACTCCTCATGAAACTTCCTCCAAAAACCTGGAGGTGAAACGAACATCCCGGTCTGAAACCACCGAAACTGGCACCCCCTGTCGAACTACCACCTGCCGAATGTAGATGTCAGCTAACTTATCAGCAGATATACTCTTGGAAATCAATATAAAATGTGCGCTCTTGGTCAATCTATCAACAACGACCCAGATAGAATCAACTTTGTGTGCCGTCCTAGGCAACTTTGTGATGAAATCCATAGTAATCTCTTCCCATTTACACATGGGAATAGGTAATGGCTGCATCTTGTCGTGGGGTCTCTGATGTTCGACCTTGACTTTCCTGCAAGCCAGGCACCGCTCAACAAACCAAGCTATTTCCATTTTCATATAGGGCCACCAATAACTCAACTTCATATCCCTATACATCTTTGTGGCCCCCGAATGGATTGAAAACTTTGACTTATGTGCTTCCTTCGGAACTGTATGCCTCACTCCACCAGTTGTCGGAACCCAGACTCTACCACACTGAGTCAACAACCCTCGACCGTCACTGACAAATAAGGGAATATGCTCTCTGATTCGCTCAGCCTTCCAATTCTCCTTTTTCAATCCCTCCACCTGAGCCTTTTTTATCAAATCCAACAAAGGCGAGGTAACAACCATCCTCAAACAAATATACATGATAGGAGAACTCACGACCTTACTTCTCAAAGCATAGGCCACCACATTGGCCTTCTCGGGATGGTATAAGATCTCGTAATCATAATCCTTCACCACATCCAACCATATCTGTTGCCGCATATTCAAATTCGAATGATCCATCAAGTACCTCAAACTCTTGCGGTCAGTATGAATAGTACACCTAACCCCATATAGACAGTGGGTCCAAATCTTGAGGGCAAAAACCACAACCCCCAACTCCAAATCATGTGTAGGATAATTCGCCTCATGAGGCTTCAACTGCCTCAAAGCATAAGCAATCATATGACCCCTCTGCATAAGGAAAGCTCCCAAACCCGAAATAGAGGCATCACAATAAACCACAAAATCATCCAAATCCCCGGGAAGCGCAAGAATCGGGGCACCGTACAATCTTTGCCTCAGAGTCTCAAAAGCCAACTGTTGATCAGCCTCCCACCGAAAAACCACATTCTTTTTTGTCAAGCGGGTCAAAGGCACTGCAATCTTGGAGAAGTCTTGGATAAATCTTCGATAATACCCTGCGCGGCCTATGAAGCTCCGAATCTTAGATGGGGTCCTCGGGACCTTCCATCACATCATGGCCTCGATCTTGGCCGGGTCGACCAATATACCCCTCTGGATGACGATGTTCCCCAAGAACTGCACCTCTCACAACCAGAACTCGTATTTGGAGAATTTGGAATAAAGCCTCTCCCTCCTAAGGGTCTCCAACACCTTGTGCAAATGCTCCTCATGCTGATCCTTGGTCTTGGAGTAGACCAGAATATCATCTATAAATATTATCACTGGCCGATCCAACATCAGCCTGCAAACCCGATTCATGATATCCATGAGGGCTGTTGGTGCATTGGTGAACCCGAAAGGCATCACCATGAACTCATAATGACCATAGC